CCCCGCTGGCAGCTGAGCGCCCGGCGGGGAGCGGGACGTGCATCTCCCGGCAGCCGGCTCCGCATCCCGCAGCCTCGCCTTGCGCAGGTGAACCGTGCCGGGGTTGCGGAGGGACGGCCTGAGGCCGAGTTCAGCTGGTTTGCTTGGCCGGACAGTACTTGTGTTCTTCAGTTTCACGTTTTGAGCTGCCTTTTCCTTTTGTTCCAGACTTCCTCTGATTCTGCTGGAACGCTCTTGTGTGCCAAGCTTGTAACAGCTAGCGACTCGCTAGAAAGAACGGATAAAAAGTGTTACCGAGTACATAAATCCTTGAAATTATGAGCTGAATAATACTACGATGTAGGCTGGCTTCCCAAGAAAGCCTCCCTCTCGTGCTCCTTGAGGCCTGTCATGTACAATCAGCTGCAATTAACACCAGCAGGTCATGGGAATGGTTTGGGCTGCACGTGGTTAATGCCTAATGATCGTTATTCCACGTGCTCCGGATGGGAGAGTGTCTCACGAGTCCATATCTCCTTCCTTGTGTTTTTGCTCTTATGGAATTATCTTACGGGTTACAGAATCTATCTTAAACCCTTAAGATTGGTCAAATTTAATAGCGTGGGACCCTTTTAGTGCTGCTTTTGCATCTCAAGTCTGTGTGGTTATTTAAGAGCCATTATCTTCACTTCTAATAACCTTTTTATTGCTCTTTCTGAGATACTAGAAAGGAGAGGGAGAAGCATAACAATTGTCAAACATACAATCATTTCTGCCAATGCTTTGCCTTTTTCAGGTGGAATTACTTCTTCCTTTATGATGGTTCGAAGGTCAAGGAAGAAGGAGATCCTACAAGTGCCGGCATTTGTTATTTCTATCCTTCTCAGGTAATGTCTGCTTTTATTTCGATGCCTGTAACAGGCAGAGTGCTTGTGTGGCGGGTCAGTGCTGATAATCTGGTTTGGGAACCGTCAGGTTTCCAGGTGGAGCTTTGGGTTAATTCTTATTTAGTATTTACGCAAGTTTTCTTGAAGCTCCTGCAGCCAGAACGGGGGGTGGAGTGGAGAGGTGCTTCACCGGGCTCAGGGTACAGAAGTCCTCGGACTTCTGAAGCTGGGCACGGTGCCCCCTGCTCCCTCACTGTGGATTCTGGTCAGTAGGGTCCTCCAGCAGAGTCCAGGTCTGTTCTGGTGATGTGAGTAAATACACACGAGGGATGAAATTGCTCCGAAATGAGCACTAGGCCCTTGTGCTGCCTGAAAAAAGCAGTCCAATTATTTTTTCCCTAGAAATTTGCCTGTGTTACTGCATTTGATTTTGTAATTGAATTGAACTTATAATTAATTTTTATTTATCCCTGAGTAGAATAGTGATTTTTTTTTTTCCCAAGTCCTTTTTAAAAGGCCAAAAAAAAAAAAAAAGCCTTTCTTCCCTGCCTTCCCTGACAGACTCTTCCCGACCAGCAGGAACTGCTGTGCGGACAAATTGCCGGAGTGGTGCACTGCATGACTGAGATTTCTGGACTCCCTCCAAGTCTCATTCGTCTGAGGAAGCTCAAGTTTGCAGTTGTAGTGGATGGAGACCATCTGTGGGTGAGTTCAAGAGATCTGGAGGCAGTCACAGAGCTAAAACCGTGAGAATCTGAACTACTGTATCGAAGAGGGCTTTTGTTTTTTCCAGGGTATGGGTTGCACACAGACAGACCTGGGCAGAGCTAGGGTGGCAACTTGCAATGCATAACTTTTCATTGCAAGGTCATTTACATTTTGTTTACCACAGCCTCCGAGCGTGTCATGTGGTAGTCACTTCAGCTGCTCTGTAAAAAGCTTCACGTACCTCATTTGTGTGTCCACACCCCACGTGTTCTCTTAAGATGTGCCTGGATATGGCTGTAATGCACTGAGCTCTGCATGATGCATCTCCGTGGGTTACTGGCAGTGACTGGAAAAAGGATTCCATGTGCTGCAGTTCATATTAAGGACTCAGTCTCCCTATTTGGTAATCTGACAATTCCTTCCTTCTCCGTATTCCCGCTGCAGAGCTTTGTCAGCATCAACAGATATTTAGTGTATAAAGAATGGTGTGTGGCAGAGTCGTAACAGAAGTGCCCCAAAGCATCCCTTGGAAACTGGGCTAAGACCGGTCAGACCTATTTAACTGGCAGTGCTGTTCAGGCTCACGGGGCTCTGCCTGAGGCAGAGGGCCTGGGGCTTCTGTTTCTGTCAGCAGCTCAAAAACTAAATGAAACCTCTTCGTTGTTGTAAATAACAAGTTAACTTGAATATTTTTATGTACTTAGTTTCAGAAAAATTCTCTCAGCTATTAATGGACTGAGCAGGGCCATCTAATGTGGGAAGGGAGTGTCTAAAATGCTGGATTTCTGATATTTATTTATCCTGTCTGTGCCAGGGCTCTTCTGTGGGTGTTTTTGAATTTCCTTTTCATCTGACTTGTGAATCCGGGGGATGTTTGCCTGACACACAACTGCTCGTACGCCTTTAATACTCATTTGAAAGCACTAAAGGTTGTTCTCACCTGCATTGCTTGGGTTTTGTCAGTAAGCATTCTTTCATGGCTTTCTGTATTAAAGGTTCTGGGCTGTGCTGTTGAGCTCCCTGATGTCAGCTGTAGACGGTTTCTGGAGCAGCTGATCAGCCTTTTCACCTTCTACAATGGCCCTGTGCACCGTGCATACATGGTAATTAAAGATCGGAAGCTGGGATGTTTCTGCATAGGAGATCTTCCACACTTCCCGTATTGGCTGAGCCCTGCCGAGGCACATACGTGCTGGCATGTTCCCTTACACTGTCTTCCTGCTTGCAAGGGTCAGAGCAAGCTCGCGTGTCGAAGAATCAGACCTGGGAAAGTGTACAGCCCCATCCTCCTTATTGCCCCAAGGTACTGTGGGTGTCTACTAGAAGTTTCCTAGATGTTCAGTTTAAAACAGTTTCCTCTTGATATCACAGAATGGTTTGGGGTGGAACGGACCTTAAAGATCATCCGGTTCCAACCCCCCTGCCATGGGCAAGGACACCTTCCACTAGACCAGGTTGCTCCAATCCACATCCAGCCTGGCCTTGGACACTTCCAGGGATGGGGTATCCACAGCTTCTCTGGGCAACCTGTCCCAGTGCCTCCCCACCCTCTCCGGGAAGAATTTCCCTTGTCCTTCCAATCAGAATCTCCACTCTGAATTTAAACCCGTTACCCCTTGTCCTGTCACTACAGGCCCTTGTAAAAAGTCCGCCTCTGGCATTCTTTTAGGCCCCCTTCATCTTCCTCCTCATCCTCACATAATTTGCCACTTATAGGTACTCTCCAGGCTGATTGCATTCAACCATCCCAAAGGCTGTAAGGCCTGTGCAGTGACAGCTGTGTGGACTTTTGTTGCCTGCAGGCATTTTCTCAGGAGGAACTGAGCAAGCAGTGGGACAGATACATTGAACACATCCAAAAAAATACCAGTGACCTCCACAAGATTTTCAATTCTCTCTGGAATCTGGACAAAACCAAGGTAAAAGCCTGTCCTTTGCAGTGTTTAGCTCTACAGCTGTCTTAGCACCAATGCTTTTGTGTTTATTTGCTGCCTTGAGCATTTCTCGGGATTCTCTGGCCTAACTTCTTGTGGTTCTCCTTGTCTAGGTGGACCCTCTGCTTTTACTGAAAGCAGCTCTCATCTTGCAAACTTGCCAGCGGTCTCCCCATGTCTTGGCAGGCTGCATTCTCTACAAAGGCTTGTAAGTACCCAGGCATTCCCCAAAGGGTTAACCTGCACCTGAAATCTGCCCCTTCCCGGGGCTGGGATCCTGGAGTGCATCCAGGAGCTGGACACATTAATGCTTCAGGCAATGTAATCCCTGCCTGCTGGTGTATTTCAAAGAGGATAAATCGTTATTTGTGCTTATCAGTAGGAGAAATGGAAGCATGAAGAAATTAAGGAGTTGGGTTTTAGTAGTAATCTGCTCTCTTTGATATTTGGCAGGACGTGAAGACTTCTTGGGCTTTTTAGGTAGAAGTCACCAAGAGAAACATAGATGTGTGATTCTTCTCTCCTCTTAGCATTCTCTTTGTAGTCTTGAAAATACAGTGCATGTGTCTGTATGTGTGTACCCCTGATGGATTTGTTGGCCAGGACCACTGTCTGTACTGGTAGAGGATGTGCAGAAGAATGAGACAGTTTCCCATGAGAAATGCCGGCTTCTTTCAACCAAAGATTAATCAGGGGTGAAGATGCTGCAGATGTGGCGCTGAACAACATCAAGGAAAGCCTCAGAGGTGGCCTTGAAAGACAGGAGGTGGGGGATTCTGAGAATTTCTTGGCAATAACATTCAAGCACCTTTTTCCTTTGGCATAGACTGTTCCTGCAGCACCTTTTACGAGCACTGGAAATATGCCAGGATGTGTGTGTCTTTCCAGGCCTGATAGAGACAGGCCAGGCGTTTTTAAGGGAATGATCTCATACCTGCAAGCAGGACGCTGAGCATGAGTCGCTGCGGCACCTTCAAGCTGGTGGCACGTTGCAGTGGAAGCGGGTGTCTGTCTTGGGAATGGTGTCTGGTCCTCTCTCTGCCCATCACCAGTGTGTGTGTCTCGTGGTATCACTGGTCTGTCTGGTAGAGGTGGGTTTTTTTCAGATGTCATCAGAGTTCTCGGAACTCTGAATCTTACTACAAAGGGCTTTATGCTTGAGTTAGACTTCCCCATCTTCTGGAGAATCTCCAGAATGTGGATCTCAGCAGGATGTAAAGACAAAGACAGAGAATACCTGTAGAAGCCCTGTCCGAGGGGCCTATGCTGTGTAGCACTGAGTGCTAGACTTACGCATCTTCTCCACTGCCACAGCTCTTCATGGGGTGGCAGGAAGCCTGTGTGGATTGTTCTGTCCACCTTGACTCAGCAAAACCAGATTTGTTGGCCAAAAGTAAATGCCAGCAGGTGGTTTTCCTGAGTTTGGAGTGGAACTGACCCCAAGAAAAGAAGAAAATAACAATCCTCATGGTCACTCGGCTTGCGTTCCTGTTGTGTTTGGATGTGTTAGCTCCAGTCCATGTCTGGGGCTGGCCCTTCAACCCTTGTAAAGTGTCTGGCAGGACTGGGAGAGGTAGGGGTGGTGGAACCCTACGGACTCCCCCAGCAATGGCCCAGCTGTGAAATGGGGCCCTACAGCACCGTCACTTTTGCTTAGAGCACCAGAAACAGTCTAGTGTGGCACTAGAGTTGGCTCTGCCCATTCTGATGCACTGGATCTGCAGCTGAGCTTCAGGGAATGATGCTCCGCCCATGGGTGACTTTGTTTTGTCCTTTCAGGATTGTGAGCACCCAGCTGCCACCTTCTCTCACTGCCAAAGTTCTCCTCCAAGGCGATGAGTCTCCAGACCGGGTATGTTGCTAAACACGTTCCCTGTGTGCAGATTCCCACGTGTCTGGGAGCTCTTGTCACATAGATCTTACGTGTGGTGTTACTGGGAAGGACAAATATTGGTGCTGATGCTGAATGTTTTTATTAATTAGGGTTGAGTAAGGTTTCAAGACTTCTGCACTAGGAATTTGCTTCTTTTCAGTCTTTCAAGTTACTGAATTCAGTTCTCATCTGTGTGATGTTTTGGTTAGCTATTTACCCAAGTTTAGGTATTTAGTGCTAAATATACAAAACAAATGTCTGAAAGTGACAAACAAATCAATTTCCATTTCCATTAAAACCTGTCAAAAGTAATTATTTACGTGGTTCAAGATCTACACAAAAGCCATCAAGATCTAGATGCAGAGAAGGCCTCTGTTCTTACGCTGGTTCAGAGTGAACCAAGTTTTTGTGCCTTGTGCAGGCAATAATGGCAAACTGTGATATTTGTCCTTGCTTTCAGGTGTATTTTGGTTCTTGGGAAGTCCCTTTGACTTTGAGGGCTACCTAAGGAACAAATCACTGCCCAGCATGGTAAACCGGTCACAGCATTTGCTGAGGGGGATGGTCTGGGGTGTGCTGTAGTCACAGGGAGGCTGAGGGGGCTGGAAGAGCTGTCCTGGTGGCACTGATGGCCAGTGTCGAGTCATGCCACAGAGCTGATTCTTGGCTTTTCTTTCAGAGGGAGCCTGGAGGTGAGGAGCAGCGGGAGCCTGGTGAGCATCCAGCTGCAGAGTGCAGGTTTCCAGGTGCACAGCAGCAGCATATGGGCAGCCCTCTGGGGCCGCTTTCTCTGCAGTGAGAGCATGAGCTGGTTCTCTGTGATTCACGTCAAAGCTCTTGCTGGGTGCAAGAGTATATCCCTGAGGGTGTTGCTGCAAGTAGTCAGCATGTGCCAGTGGGTGTTGTGTAATCAGAACGAGTTCCTTCCTTTGGCTAAGCAAAGGAGTTTGCTCTTTTGGGTTTAATTGTCAGTTCTGCGGATTCCCAACATGCCAGCTTTAATTCCAGTTACCCATGTGCCTACTTGGCTGCTGACAGAGGCCTGGAAACAGATGGTTGATGCTTTCAGTCCAAACCTTCAGTCAACGTTTTTGAGCATCAGTTTATAGATGTTCTGCCAGGACGGTTAGAAAAAACCCCAAAACGCTGAGGGAAAATTTAACTCTGTCAGGCATTAAAGATAGGAGGAGGATGGGAAAATGCTGCCTAGTCAGTTTGTGGTGACCCAGGATAAGAGATGGTAGCATGCCTCCTCCTCTGGCAGAAGCCTTTGGGCTGAGGGAGTTGGACTTCTGTCCTTTATGCTTTGGCATGTTAATTTAATCCTCAAACTTCCATTGCTCTTGCAGATTCCCCGTTGCCGCAGGGTGTCTGTATCATCCCAGTATTCCTAACAGAAGATGAAGCCTCAGTGCTCCGGGACTTTCCAGTGGAGTGGATGACTAGGTAGGAAGTCAGTCTGACGCCCAGAGAAGGTTTTGCAGCAACACGTGGTGCCGTGTCCTCGCTAGCCATTGTTACTGTTTGATACCGACTCAAACTCTGTCATCTGGCATTGAAGCTGCCCGAGGTCCTTCAGGCCGGACAGAATCTGTGGTGTTTGTATCTCTCTTGCGCAGCAGCCTAAAGCAGAACTGTTTCCCCAGACCAATGGCGATGTTCTGTTGTTTCTCAGCTCAGTGTGCTGCCTTTGTGCCTTGTGACAATCCCAGGATTCTGCAGTGTAAAAGGCCATGCTTTTCACCTGTTAGACCTTAGCCCATCCTTTTCCGAGGTAGATGCTCTTTGTAGCAGAGAATAGATCAGCTATTGAACACTACCAGGAGGTGATAGTGTTACTACGCATGTAATCAGTCCAAACAGATCCTACTCAGTAGTTAATCAACTTGTCATCTCCCACTAGGTCATCCATGTCCCCAGCAAGCCCTAGAGGAGAGAAGAATGCTCTTCATTCCCAGGCGGTTTTGGAATCAACAGCAATTAATGAAAAGCAAGACCTGACTAATACCGCTGTGCAGGAGTCCCCCGAGCAAGCGTCAAGCACAGTGGCACCAGCAGACGCAGTGCAGTCTGGCAGCCTTGCAAACACGGGCCCTTTGGGCTTCCCCGAGATGGAAGACAGTGCAAAGAAGTCTCCAAGCGCCAAACTGAGCAGCCCAGACAGCACAGAGCTCAGTAGAAAAGCATCCTTCCCCTTAGAGATAGACTCGAAGCAGCCACCAAGCCCTTCCACACTCCATACAGCTGAATATGTTCAAACTACAGGTCCGTATCCAAAAGGCTTTTTATTTCCAAACCCTTACGCCCAGGAGCGGGAGAGTCGGAGCGTGGGGAAATCCCTTCTGGACTCTCATGTTGAGGAACACAGTTTCCATGCAGCCAGTAGCAGTCCAACTTCTTGCTCTCCTGTCCAAGAGTCGAGCAGAGGCAAATCTAGTGAAGACGACGAGCAAGGGACTATGAGCCAAACCAGCATCCCTGGAGGAAGCAGCGGTGCAGCCGGTGGCAACGTGCCGGGTTTGGACTGTCCAGGCACTGCTGTACAGTCGCAGCTCCAAAGTGGGAGTCGGCTGTCAGCTGCGGAGGTTCGGGACAATCTTCCTGGTGACCCAGCAGAGAACACCCCTTGTCCCAGGAGCGGGGAGAGCAGCTGGCCACCTCGGGGGGACAGCCTGGGAGCCCAGGCTGGTGCGGAGTCAGGCCAACAGTGCAGACTGGTTCAAATGAGCTTGTACGTTCACGGCATTAAGGGGCTTGTGCTCTGTCTGCTGGGTGAAGATCACCTCCGAGAAGACCAGGGCTCCGTTGAGGATGTGGTAAGTGGGAAAGCTCCTCCAGGAGTGCTGCTGGGTGGTGCCGGGGTTACAACTCGAGAGCGAGCGTTGGATGGCGCTTCCCGGCTCTTTCCTCACCTGCTGCGTGTCGCGCAAGGCAAAGCCGTTTGGCTTGGGGTTTGTCACCGCAACCCAAGCTGCGTGGGAGGTTGTTCGCGAGCATCAGGCAGCGAGCCCGAGAGGTGAGAGCGTTGTCTCACAGATGACTCTTGTTGCCTGTTGTTGTCTGTCAGTGCCAGCGCCGGAGCAGAACGTGTAGGTGTGACCGTCAGACAGCCCCACGGGCTGCCAAAGGCCTGTGCTGGATTTGGGATTTCTTGGGGAAACCCCATCAGTTCTGTAGTGCTTTTAGGAAAGCAAGGTTTGTTCTCTGTTTAACCTCCTCTTGTCGCAGCTCCTCGCTCTGGAAGCACCAGAGAGACGTGTCTGGCAGCGAGTCCCCGCAGCACTTCCTTTCTGCTTGGAAGCCAGGCTGCATCCCCAGCCTGCTCTCCCTGGCGCTGCTCGCGGGGGGCCGGAGCGAAGGCTGCCATTTGGGCACTGTGCAGAGGTGCTGTACCTAGAGCAATCCCAAATTACTCTGCTGCGGCATTTGCTTGGGTGCACAGGCTTCCCTGCCAGGTGGTGTGGTGCAGTTAATGGGGCTGCGAGGGAAGGACATTTCCCGGTGAAGCATTAGTCTGCAGAGCTGCCGCCTGGCCTCTGCTTCCCTACCAGGGAGCTGAGTCAAAGCTGCAGAGGCCTGTTTGATATGCCAGTTGCCATAGGAACAACCTAATTTCTTTATCCATCAGACTGGAAGCTGGAGGGAAGCTCAGACTAACGCTGGCTCCCAGCATTAGCAAGAGCCTCAAGGTTACTCCGTGTACTTCCGAGTGCTGGGACTCAGAAGCTGTGGCTGTGACACCCCCCACACCCCCCGTAGGCAGGGTGATGCCACCTCACGCAGCATGCAAGGATTGGCGTGCCTAGGAAGGGATAACTGCAACATCAGCAGAGGCCAGGCAGTGCAGCCTTGGCCTTTGGCAGCAGACATGGCAAATCGCTGTCCCCTCTCTGCTCGTTTCAAACAGGTGCAGTGGCTCCTGCTCCAGCACGTCTTCTCCAGTGGGGGGAAAATGGGGAGATACAGGCAGATGTGGTGCCCTGGAGAGCTGAAGGTCATCCTCATTGCACAAATGCCCTCGGCTTCTCTGGGTTTCCTCCGGTTGCAGCACAGCTCTGCAGTGCTCAAGGGCCATGGTGCGGTTCCTGACAGGCTGTGCAGCACCCGTGGCTGGAAACCAGCCTCTGCTCTGCTTCACGTCTGCCCTGCCATCAGGAGCGTCTGAAGGATGTAGCTGGTGTGTGAGATGCCTCGTCGCGGGGGTTAACTGTGCCAGTGACACATGGCATGTCCTACTCCCATCCGCATTCTGGGCCAGGCCAGCGATGGGCCCAGCCTGGCTCAGTTTGTCACTCAGTTCATTAAATCTCAAGGTCAACTGCCTAACGTTGGTCTAATGCCTAATGAATTGCCCTGGTGTTGGCAAAGCCCTGATCCTTTCAGGTCTCTCTTTTCCCAAACACGCTGCTTCCATCTCACATATTCTTCGTTTGGATCTCATCTTCACAAAACTACTTTCACCCAGCTTGGATTTTGACTCTGGCTGGGTTTTTCTGGTTACACCCTTCCTCTGGGTGCATTGTTAGCTCTTAGGAGAGATGCACTGCATATCCTGTCATCCCAGGAGGAAAAGTATTACTCGGGGAGGTAGAGCTGGGCTCTGCTGCTGGCATCATGGTGGATTTGAGGCGTAACCTCAGCTTGTCTGTTCCTTTGTTTATCTGTAGATTAAAAATGACCCTCAGCTCTCGGGGATGTCAAAGCTTAGTTATAATTAATGTTTGTCGAATGCTTTGAGGCCCCTGAATGACACCAAAGAAGGGTAAAATATGCTACTTGCACAGCTGAGAACAGCAGGCAGTACCGATCATCCCTCTGGGAAGGAGGTTTCCAATACAGGCTTTCCCTGCAGAGCAGGAGGCTTTGGAGGCTTTCGGCCTTGCTTTCCTCCCGTCTTTAGGTCTTATCCCTTCATTTCACTGCACAGAAAAGAAAATCTGCTCCGTGACCGGGGAGGGGGGGTCAAGGGTAGGCCACGCGCTGCCGTGCTGCTGAATGGAGGCTTGATCCTCTCCGTGTCGAAGGAAAGCACACGGGCAGGATGGAGGATTATGGAGTTAATCTTCCCAGCGCTGCGGCGGGTCCCTCAGCCCTGCCCGCTGCCTGGGAGCCTCAGCACAGCCAGGGCAGCTGGGATGCTGAAAGCCCAGTCAGCAAAGCAGTTTGGCTTTCATGCTGGTACGTTGTTGTGCAAATCCGTTGCTCAGGCCTGTTGTTACCCCATAGGTTAGGCTGTTTCCTTGGCTTTTCTTTTTTTTCCTTCTGGTGATAGCCCAGTACCTGCGCTCTGCAGCTGGCCAGCTCAGAGGGGAGGCTAGGTGCCCCTTAGATCTCCTCGTGTTGAGAGGGGGCTGTGTGTAATCCAGCCCAAGCGTGTAAAGCTGCATCCTGTGTTGTGATGTCTGTCTGGTGTAGTAAGGGCTGGTAAACAAAGGAGTATTCTTTGCTGTGTCTGAAAGTCATGGCCAGAATGTGGAAATGAGCCCTGGAGAGTAATGATTGATGGTAAATTAATGTAGTCCTGCGTTTTCTCATAATTAATAGCATCAGGTGGCTTAATGGCTTATTTTCAGGTTGCAGTGCCCTTTTCTGAGACTTGAATGGCTCCAGTCCCTCTGTCATCAACCTCAGTCACCCAAGCTCCTCCAGTACCTCCTGGGAAGTGTAGGCAAAGCTGGGCAGCTACACTAACACTTGCCTTTTTTCATCCTCTCTGCAGTACCACAGCAGTTTGGCTTCTCTGAACGGCCTGGAGGTTCATCTGAGGGAGACTCTGCCCAAAGACTCCTCTTCCTCAGGCAAGACAACGTACAGCTTCACTCACTACGACTGTGTTCAGAATGTACTCACGGGTAAGCCTTCCTCTTCTGGAACAGCAGCCGCTTCGGAGGCGGGAGTAAGGAGAGCAGGGTTTATGGTAACCTTTTCTCATGCTTCAGACAACTTCTCGGAAACATTGCTTGCTGTAACTCTCACAAGATAGCCTGGATAAAAGGCCCTATTGAGGAAACTTTGTCTTTTGTGAGTTTATAATCTGCTGAAGGCTTGTTGATCTCTTTGGATGAGAGCCAGAGGCTGCTGGGAGATGGAGCAGCTGCCACGGGTGCTTCACTCAGAAAGATGTTGCTTGGGGTTCTGCTAGGGTCTAGGTCCAAGGACAAGGCTCAACATGCTCTTCAAACCTTCCCTCCCCCTGACTTCATTCGTCCCTGGTGTGATGCCTTTTGTCCCACTGTACAACAGAGTGTCTTGTCAGTCTTTTGGCTATGAGAAGCAGGAACTGGGAACAGGTTCTAGCCAGCAGTTTGGAGACTGCTGCCCCAGATTGGTGGGTGGACCATCACCATGCAGAAAGCCCCGTGCATGTATTGCTCCAGTTCGTTCTGATGTTTCCCTTTCTTGGCACCCTGACAGGCAGTGTCCCACCTCTCTCCAGCTTAGTAGTGCTTTAGGGGAAGAGAGAAACCCCAGTGATCATAGGTAACCCAAGTCTGAAGCCTTCTTGTCACCCCTGTGATGTGTGGGGTGGGAAGGTGCACTAGGGTGTTTGTGCACGGCTGAGCACGGTGAGAGCTGCTGACTGATTTCATGGGGGTCACACCGGGGTTTAGGGTGTCACCCAGTCTCTGCTTTGCAGATATCCAGGGTCTGTGGGAGGTCCACAGCTTTCTCCTGCTCAGTAAACAGGGGCACGCCTCCTCTACAGAGTGGGCTTTTAACCCACACCCCTTATTCCTGTTCTGCAGCCAACCTGCCCCATACACCCGGCCCTCTGGATCGGCACTTCCTGAGAGCGGCTACACTGATCCACTCTGACTTCAGCCAGCTCCCGACTGCTTCCGAAGTGATAATCAGGTACGGTGTGCTTGTAACTCCCTCCGCTTCCAGGCGCAGGAGGGCTGTGTGGCACGCAGAGTAGGCACAAGGGGGAGAACGCCTTTGCTGAGGTTGGCTGAGGTTTGGCACGCATTGTGATCACGCTGGTGTCCTGCCAGGGGTCAGTCACGTCACCCTTATTCCCTGAAATTTGCTCTTTAGATGGGAGCTACTTGGTATTCCGCCTGTAGCGTGATCCGGGCATTGAGTGGCTGGAGTGGCACCGAGGCAGGCAAAGAGAAGGCCTGGCTGAGTGGTACCCCAGGTTTGGTTTAAGATATAAAGCTAGAACATCGCCGGTGCCTGGCACCATAAGGTTCAAAGACACAGTTTCAAATATAGCTGTTCCTAATAAATTAGTGTCTCGGCTGGGAGCCAAAGGCACCCAGAATTGGCAAACTAGATTTTGTTTTCTTGCACGGCTTGTTGGGTTGGAAACATGCTGTAACGTGCGTGGCAGACTCAATTGTAATGCGCCAGGCAAGATGGTCTTCTCACAGCCAGAGCCCTTCCACGCAGCCGAGGGTAAAGCTGACGGGCTGCAGCACTCGCCCCGTTCCTGTAGCTGGTCTCAGGATGGTGGTTGTGAGTGCTACGAGTTTCTGCTTCCCTGGCTGTGCTTGTTTGTCCACAGCATGATGAAATAAAGATGCTTCTGGGAATTACACGGTTTCACTTCTGACACAGCTTGCCAAGGGAATGTGAATCATACGCTTGAATGCTGGAGAACTCCTTGTTTAGCATTAATTTGACTGGCTCCTTAAATCCTGTGCAGGCTAAGCTGGCATGTTCTCCGCTGCCCCAAAAAAAGCAACTCCATGTGTGAATCAGACTGAGTAACAAGATGACTAAAACTGCTTTCTTTTAGGGAGAGTTGTCACAAAAGGGTGTCAGCAAACATATCAGTTGCTGCTTTCCTCCGTGGAGGAGGAATGCGGAGTCCTTTGCTCCCTGCCAGCCCTCTGGCAGGTAAATACCAAGTGGTGGGTTTTAATCAGTGGCTTGAGTGTCGTGGTTACAGTGTGTGACAATTGTCTGAGCTTCATCCCATGTGCGACTAAACAACCTCGTGTGGTTCCTGCTGCAAGGGTGCTGGGATTTGCTTATGGACAGCAGTAGTGGGATACGTTCCTCTGGGAATGAAGGGGTGTTCGGTATGAGGGTTGTTTAACTACCAGCTCGTGATACGCTGGGCTGCTCCGCCAGCAAGGGAAACACGCAAAGGATGGTGACGTGTGTGGATGTTAATGCTGCTGGAGAGGTCCCAGAAAGGTGAGACAGAGGATACTTTCTCTTTTAGGATGCCAGGACCCTTGAGACGGAGGGTCTGATTCCCTGTGGCCTTCTGGCAATGCAGTCCAGGGTTTTGGTGCCCGTCTTAGCTCTGTGTTCCTTGACTCTGCTGAGAGAGACCTAAAAGTCCCCCTCAGTAACTGGGAGTCCAGTGCCGCGAGCAGCCCAGTGCCCAGCACGGTGAGTTGAAGTGGATCTTGCACAAAGCTGTAAATCCTGACTGCTGCCTTCTCTCCTGCCCTGCTAGGAACGCCTCCACAGCCGTGTACGCCTGCCGGAACCCCGTCCAGGAAACCTACTTCCAGCAGCTGGGTTCTCCGCTCCGCAACTCGGGTGTTCCCAACCCTCACGACAGTGCCTTCAGCTTGCCAGGCAAGGCCAAGCAGAAGCTGCTGAAGCACGGAGTGAACCTGCTTTGAAGTGACGCGCTGAGGCAGCGTGTCTCGGCCTGCGCTGCAAGTTGGTTCAGCTCCAATGGGTAAAAATCTCAAAGCTGTTTACTCCGTAGGAGGCATGACGCTACGTCTGTGGGGTCTCCAGCCTGCCTTGCCTGGAGGAAGGAGCACTCATTGCCCTGTTCCTGCAGCCGATTTTTGGCTAGTACAGCGTATTGTGGATGTTAGCACTTACCAAAGACTGAAGATAGAAAATAGCTCTGCTGGTGTGCTTGGTTTACATTGACTCTAGGACTGTTTGTGGTGCTCTGCCGCCACAGGCAGAGACTCCTGGAGTGCCTTGACGTAAAGTAAAACCTCTTCTAAGCTACACAGACACCAGGCTACTGGGGAGTACTGGCTGTCAGAGATGTCAGTCAGGCACTGCATCTGCCTGGAGTCTTGTGCCTACACTTGCCCTGGTCACACCTGGGCTTTATTTATATCTCTTAATCTACAGAAATGATCCCCTGCTTTACCTTGATGAACAGAGCCTGCATGTTCTCAGGCTAACTGGAGCAGAACAAGTGCTGCAAAACTCATAATCCTCCTACGGCACTGTCAGGAGGCTTTTATGCTATAGCTGAATCCGGGAGAGCCATGCCTGGTGGGTGATGGTGCAGGGCTGCCTTCCCCACGACCCACCAACGCGGCTGTAACCCACCAGCCGCTCTCAGGGGCTGTGGTGATGGTGGTGATGAATGAGCTGCACCTCCTGCCTGCTCCTCGGTCTTCAGCTACCTCCTCTCCCTCCTCTTGGAGGGAACTTGTTTCACCTCCTTGCTCTCGCTGCTCGATTTGTCTACGTTGTGTTGGCAGAAAAGGCAAGTGGGAGCCCCTTAAGCTAATGGGACCAAAGAGGTTTTGTAGCTCCTCGGCAGCTGTGTTTTCTGCTCGGACAGATGGCGTGTCCCCTCTCAGCGGCTGGCTGGGTGGGTTGGCGGTGACGGCTGCTTAGACCTGAGTGATGGATACCTGTGTGTGACTGTGCTGCATGTTCCAAAACCTGCTGTCGCAGCCCAGGCACTGTGACTGTGAAATAAAGAGTCCAAGGCTCATCCAAGCACTGTGTGTCAGCAGCCAGCGTCCACCTCACTGCTTGGTCTTCTTGTTTGTGATTCCTGGGGTTGGGCGACCCGTTACCCTTAGCTCCCGGCTGAGAGTGAGTTCTGCACTGGTGGGGTTGATCACTCCTGCAGAGTAGCTCCTTGTCAGGGTCTTAGAAGATTGCTAAAGGTAGATGTGTTATTACTGGCTTTACCGTGAAATGGGAAGCAGACTTGAGCTGGCAGCCCAGAAAGATGTATCCTGGGCTGTATCCAGAGCAGCGTGGCCAGCAGGTCGAGGGAAGTGATCCTCCTCCTCTGCTCCGCTCTGGTGAGGCCTCACCTGGAGTACTGTGTCCAGTTCTGGGCTCCTCACTTCAAGAAGGACAAGGAACTACTAGAGAGGGTCCAGCGCAGGGCCACTAAGATGCTTGAGGGCCTGGAGCCC